AGAAGAAGCGAATTACACTCATTTTACTTTAGAACAGTTAATAGAAGAAAAGACAAAGAAAAGTGCTCACCACATCCAAAATTTGAATAAGATAGAGTCGAACAGTAACAGTTAGCGGCAGGCTAGCATTCTGAACTGGACGGACAAAATAATCGTAGTTCTATGAAGAGCAAAGTACTCGTTAAGATATCCTTTTTTGATGTAAAAAATTTTAATAAAAGAAGAAAGTGCTGCTGCATAAACAGCGTCAAAAATTTTTATCAAGAAAAGAGTAAGAGATTGCAGCCTTTTTGCAAAAACATTATAAAACGTTTTGACAAAGTGTAAAATTTGATTTTATTTATTTCTTAAGCTAATTAAGCGGTTACACATGTAGTAGAAACTATATAAATAATAAAAGTGGAAAAAAAAATCATGTAATCTACTTCTTTTAAATCCTGTAGTAACCGGTATTCCTCTGGACTGCCAAAAGAAATTTGAGGAACAAGGGAAATGAGGAGAACGTAAACCAAATCTTGTAATATGGACATTGTGATGTGAATCCATAAAACTAACACAACTAATCATGTACCAATGAACTGGTAAAGCCTATTTGGTTCAATTTTACGACACCCATGAGGATTTCCCAGTGCATTCACCCGACAACTATCGATATTAATGGGCAACCATACTTAAGCGTAATGCGAAAATAAGACCCAATGCAGTTAAAACAAATGCACTCTCACGGAAACCAAATCTTCTGTTGCGCCCGTTTCTCTTTAACATCTGATGAGAAATGCAAAAACTCTCAAAGCCTTTTAAAACATTTAAAACCAACGCAGCTACAATCCTTTCTCCAAAAACAAGGCCCCCCAATCAACGGTTCAAAGTTTTTGTGAAAAAAAGCATTGGTATTCCCTAAACACCTACTTAATTTATTTCAATATTCAAAACAAATTACTCGCAACTGTCTACATAAAAAAACCATACAAAGTTTATTAAGATATCAAATACATGTGGTACGAAGATTGTAAAAAAGAACCGATAAATTTAAATGATAACCAAATAAATTACAAACACGTCGAAAACGGTTTTAGACTCAAACAAAAAGTGCTACTTGTAAAAGAATTCAGAAACAATATTTAGCTGTACAAATCATCATCATCATTACTGCTTCCTGGCACACCGCTTTGATTAGAGTTTCCTAAGTCACCTTGCTGACCCGGGAATCTGAAGCAGATACGTGTTACAATAAAACAGACAAAATCTCAGCGTCGCCGAGGCATGCATTCGTATCAATTAAAATACTATTGGTGTTTCCTACTTGAAATTAGTCCCGAAACCTCTCTGCTGCTGCAACGT